TAACTACTTAAAAAAAAACTAAAAAAAAAAAAAAAAAACTAAAACAGTAATGAAAATACAACATTATGAAATCTGTATGGATTATACTCTAGTGGTATCATACTGGATATTATACCATCCTCCTTATATTTACTCTTCATTGCAGAAATGGTATATATAATTTGGGAATTGCATCTCCTTTGATTTCAACACTGCACCTTTGGGCTTTACTGTGTCATTAGTTTCACAAAATATTGAAACTAATGGTTTCTTGTGTATATATATATATATATGTTTCCAATCCCCCTTTATTGAAATTAAAAATAATATTGAGCCCATTTTTTTATGTTTGGCTGTCTATGCAGTAATCAATTGATGAATCTCAGATTCAGCTGGCATGTCAACTTGATTGGGATATCTTCAAATAAATTCTTCCCTCATACAACCAGGACCCACAGTTTAGCTTAACTGCTACATTTAAACCATCACTTTCACAATCACATCTAGAACATTTCAAGTATGTTTTATTGCTATATTGTTTTACTTTACACTTACAAGTTACCTTCACTCTATTGGCTTTGGTTCAGCGAACCTTGATCTCGAAAATAGTGCCAAATGTCTTTTTTTTGTCTAATCAAAACAACCCAAACCTTTCCGAAAGGACTTTTTCATTTTTTATTGGATCCACATCAAGATTCTGGGCTGGTTTGTGTGGCAGATGTTCATATAAAAATTTTAATTATCATAGCTTTAACTTACAAAATTTGAAACCTAACAGAGAATAAGTACTAACAAAACCAGACTTTTGATAAAATTACATTGGTTTTAATGCAGTGGATCTCAACTGGGGATATAGCCCAATTAAAAGCTAATTTGCTCCTTACAAAACTCTTATGGTTTTGAATAAAAGCACCTGGAGCTTTTGTTCTTGTTTTTGAAGAGGGTACTTAGAGCAGTGGAATGTTTTTCACATTGCAACACACAGAAGACATTTGGTAATTTAATTCAATAGTTTTTCTTATATCTGCATTTTAGAAATGCAATGCTGTTCTTTTTTCCATTTTATTAAACTTTCCTGCATATATAATACAGAACTATACATAAAAATGGTCTATGTTATAGGAAATATGCACCTGCCCATTAACTTCAACAATTTTTCACAAAACAGAACATTTACCTTCTTAAGACTGCACAAATGATTAAATTACAACACAAAACCATCCTGTCAGTTTTTACCACAAGTAGTTTGACATTTGTCTTAGAACTCAAATACCACACTGACATATACAAAGTGAGAATGAGAATCACACAATTTACAACCTAGCTTCCTTAGAATGTATGGCTCATACCCAAGTCCTACTAACAAAATAGCCAGTTCCAGAGCAGAAATTCAGGTAAGTCATTAAATTTTTAGGAAATATAGTATACCGACACAAGACATCAACATTCCCAGTGATGCCACTGCATGCAGTTCACTTGGACTGAATCTCTAACCACCACCAAACCAGTAGCTTTTCAACTTGAACTATACCTTGGCTTAACTAAGCCGCTTAAAATTTTTTTAATATAAAATTGTTGATTAATTAAAATACCCAATAAACATAATAATAAATAAATAGCAAATCAGAACATAGTAACACGAACAGTTCGATTATAAAATAAATGCAAACCTTCAACAGCAACAAAGTTAAGAGTGTTTTTATCATCCACATTATTGACTGATTACACATATACTTTGAGGATGTAGAGAAATGTAAAGTCACACCAGTGCTTCTTATTCAACATTAAAATTATTAGTGTTAGCATATATTTAATGTTTCACTGTTTTCTACCTTAAGACTTCTCTTACTACCTACAAATTCTTGGCTTGGATTATAATCTCTACTTTTTAAATGAATGTGTCTGTTTACATATTTTATAATGTTTAGATAGAATGTCAATAAAGGGTTCTTACTGTCATGTGCTAGTAGTTTAACATACACAAAACCAATGAAACTGCTTAGGCCCTGAGGCAGAAGGTGGATACCTTCCATGTTGCATATTTGAATAAATATAGCAACAAGTTAAAATCAAGTACAACACTACAAGCCAAAATATCTGAGGAGACTTTCATATAAAGAACTCACTTTTTTTTCCTGCTCATCCCTTGAGAATAATATCCTCCATGTCTTGTTTCTCAGTTGATTTTCCTTGTCTTTCATTGGTTTTTATTACTACATTAATGTCAATATTAATTTTTTAATAGTCACAACAAGTCTGTTTTTTGCAATTATTGTAATAAATGCAATACATTAAATTACCAATACATATGGTAGCTGATGCCCTGTTTAAAAATCGTGGTATCATATAGTATTACTATATGTGCATTTTAACCTAGCTGGGACGAAAGGGTTAATGGATATTTTAGTGAACCTTCTAGTGTATTTCTACATATTTATCATATGTTAAAAAAATTACTACTGTTTTTATTCATGGAAAAAAAAATGTTCATGCTGATCTATTTCTTTACACGAAGAAAGGATATTTCCTTTTATTGAATTTGTTTTAGAAACACTTCTTGAAAATAAAGCACCTTATCCAGAGATTTATCCAATGAGAAAGACCTAGAAAAGATTTAACTTATGCATAACCTTAAAGTGTTATAATTCAACTCTCTTGAAAATGGGGAAATTCCTGGTGACTGGAATATTGTCAGTAAGACATCTCTTTATAAAAAGACTTTACAAGAATCAAAGAAACTATAGTTTGATTTCTGTTGTCAGCAAGTTGTTTGAACTCTACCACTTTTGCTGCATCTATATATGTATATGAAGAAAATCTATCCCAAAGACTGTTTAATCCCTTTGGTTGATAATGGCCAAAAAGCATATCCTGCTTTAGCCTTTGCAAGATATCACACACAAGATTGTTCAGTCATTGGATTGTTATGGAATTTAAGAAAAATTTATACAAAATTGGACTGGACATGCTGAAAGAAAAAAAAAGACAAATTACTATTTTTTGTTTAGAAGAATGAGACTAGTGTGTCTCTTCAAGGATCTGTTTATGTACCTTTTTTTCCCTTATCATGAACAACTATAGTAGTTCCTAATAGGAATCATACAGGAATTTGCTAAAAACTCTAATAGAACATTGAGGGTAAAAACAATCTTAAAAAGCACTTATTCTTGAAACAACATTTAAAACTTCCATTTTCAATAGCTAAGAGCACCCAAACGTTAATAATAAGCAAAATAAGCGATTTCACGATTGCAGACAAAATCAAAATTTGACCAGTTGTTCACATTATTATTATTATTGGTATTATTGTTTCACAAGCCTACAACAAAATTGTCTGGGTGTTTTGCTCCCAAACCAACACAGATACATTTTGACACCACAAAAATTGATAAGTACAGTAAAAATGAAGTCAAAATATGGATTTGTAGCTTGAAAAAATAATGTGGACATATTTCCAGCCTTGTTTGTTTCCTTTCTTTTGAGTCCCTAGTTGTAGGCTTCAAAATATAACCTTTACATTTTCATTAAACTTCTTTCTGTACTTTTTTTGTTTATGATCCCTATTCCCAATTTTAATAATCTTGTTGTTTATACAACTTATATAGCTCCTTGAATACAAACGTTTCCATTGTTGCTAATGCTACTGAAAGTGAAATGCTAGGAAAGGTTGATTCTATTATTATCAAGAACATTTCACATATTTTAATAGTGAAATGCAGAAAGTTATGCACTTTTGTATAAGGAGCAATACAAAAAAAGAAGAGAATTTAGATGTAGTTAGTTGGGCAACACAGACATGTCATTAGATTAGGCCTTCCAGTTAGACTGCACGTAGAACTATAATTAATAATAACAGGTATTATAATACAAGTTACTTTTACGTTCTACTTCTAGTACTACTATTATTAAGCCTAATCTATGTTCCAACTAATAATATAAACTTAGTTACTTACAATATTGTGGTGATCTATCCAAAGATTTTAGTTACGTTGTAAACTATGCAACTTACAAGTAACGAAAAAGTATTTTAAAAATTATAATTTGTGTGAATCATTTATATGATTTATAAATAATAAAACTTAAAAGCAAGCGCATTTTAAGGTTAAAATAAATTAACGATACTCCGTTCATTAACCTATACGATTTATTTCATCATATTCATTATTAACACTATTAATTTACCAAAATCACAGTCATAAAGCAATTAGTATAGGCCTATAAATTATATAACGTATCAACATTGCATGTGAACGTAGGCTACGGTCGGACGTCAGCCATGATGCCGACGCTACGGTACGACATTGGCAATGATGTTGAATTACCTAGCCAACTTACGCTCGGTACAAAATAAGGCCACATTTCGGCTCCACTTACCTGTCGTCAGAAGGCTACAAGGCATCACTAACAACAAAGCAAGTATTGTAGAAGTCAAGTAAACAACAACGACAATAGAATATCTTTATATTATTTTAATAAAGAGGCGGCTCACAATTCAAAAATAAAACAGCATCACAGCTATCTTTCATTTCTTCTCAGAGCCTAGTTAAAGCCTCTGAACTCGCATTGCTACCCTAATATCTTTGTGCACCACCGCCCTCGAAACAGTTTTAAAACTTCCTTAACTTAATTAGTTATTATAAAAATATTGTGCTGTTTTTGGAGCTGAACTTTAAAAAATAAAATCACTAAAGTGTCTTAACATCAATTTTTATATAAGTTTATTGATATGAAATCAAATATTTTAAGCACCTGTTTCAAAAGGTCAAATGAAAAGTCTGGGTAAGTTTAGCGTGCGGATTGATACGTTATAATTTGTTCTCAAATAAAACTTCAATACAAGTTCGGATGAATATCTGGATAATGTAATTACTTTTCCATATAACAGACATTTTTCAATAAAAAGTTCACTAGTGTAAACCCCACTCTCTATTTTCGAAAAGTCTTAATTGGATAAACATTTTTTTAAAAATATGTATTCTTTTTGTGACTTGTTTTAAGTCTCTACAATAATCTACAATCTATAGCCGGGTCCATCATGGGCGCAACTCTTTGAAACCATCTTCGAAATGTATTCTTAGATTAATAATTAGAATGTTAGTTGTTAAAAAAACTAAATTAGTTATTTTCCAGTATATATTACAAAGGCTAAAATGGATATGATAATTTATTAACGATTGAAAATGTTTGTTTGTAATTAAGCACAAAGCAACACAATGGGCTATCTGTGCTCTGCCCACCACGGGTATCAAAACCCGGATTCTAGTGTTGTAAGTCCGCAGACATACCGCTGTGCCACTGCGGGGCTTGAAAATGTTAACAAAATACAATTCAGATGTATTGAAATAAAGAAGCAATGGTCTTTTTCTTTCTTTTTTTTAACACAGCCATTTTTGTATGGTTTCACTCAAAAGTATATTACAGTGTAGTAGAATGATTTTATTTCTCTAAAACTTGAGAAATTTTGTATCTTTCGGAACAATTTCAATTATTTATTCGAAATCTAGTTCTTATTCATTCAACCAGTTATCGAAATGAAGTCGCCTACCTGGGAATTAGAATAATATTGTTACGACAGCGGGGGACACGTGACGCTAGTAACATATTCTCGAAGGTTCGTGAAGTCTCGAGAGGCTACTAGATATGCGGTCGTCTTGTATATATATAAGACCGGTAAGAACTGACGGCAACAATGTAAAGTAACGAATGTAATTGAACTGCGGACAGAGAGAAAGAGAGACATATTGTTGAGTCTAGCACGTGAGGCGTTCGTTGTGAATTATAGCGTGACTGTGAAAATTAAGTGTATTGCAAAGTTGTAATCAGAAATAATCAACAGTTTTATTTAAGAAAGGACTTGTGTCTCTAAAGTTTCTTTGGAAAGAATTTTACGGAAAATTAACTAACGACCAGAGACATAACAAATTGGTGTCAGAGAGTGGGATAGGAAATAGAAATAAAAAAAGAAGAAGATGGAAACGAGAGGCGGCAAATCAAACTACAGCTCAGCAGATTTGATGGCAGCAATACAAGCACAGCAAAATAAAGAAAAAGAGAGACAACAGCAGTTGCAAAAAAAACCTGCAACAGTGGCAGCTCGAACAACAAAATAAACAAGAAGAGAGATTAAAGCAGTTGTTGGAGGAAAAAGAAAAGAAACAAGAAGAACGAGAAAATAAACAAGAAGAGAGACTACAGCAGTGGATGGTGGAGAAAGAAAATAAACAAGAAGAAGGTCTCCAACAATTGATAGAAAGCCAGAGTACACAAATGGAACACATTAGTAAATTTAAAAGCGAATTAGATACATTAAAGGATGATTTATTGTCTTTTACACAAGGAGGATACACTAGCCATCGACTTAACCAGCCCCAGACAATGGCAAGCCCCTTACACAGCCCGCAGCTAAACCCTAATGCAGATATATTCAGTCCCGTTAGAAGTCACATCCCAGATATGAATGTCAGTAATAGGAGTGATCCAATGCGAAGGAAGCCACAGGAATTCGATGGGAAGGCACTGTGGGAAGCATATAGAGCACAATTTGAGCTACTGGCAGAGATAAACGGATGGACAGAGGAGCAGAAAGCAGTATATCTGAAGGGACGACCACTGGAAATACTTGGACGGTTGACAGCAGCCGACAGACACAACTATAGAGCACTGGTAGAGGCACTGGAACTCAGGTACGGAACCCACAATCAGTCAGAAGTCTACAGGGCTAGGTTTAGGACGAGAGTCCGTGCTAAAGGGGAGAGCCTGCAGAAGCTGGCACAAGACTTGGAAAGCATGGCA